GACAGCTCAGTTTGTTTTTCAGAAACTACCGTTTTCTGGCCCGGGGAAGTGACAGATGGTTGGCACGTGACCAGTTGTGTGTGCGCCCTGGTCCCAGGGTCCCAGGGCCGAGGCGCGCTGGCCGCCTGCATAAGCTGGCCAGGCTGGCTCCCGAGACACCTGAGCCACCTGCCGAGACAGCTGAGCCACCTGCCGGGGCAGTAAGGCGGGCGACAACCTCCAGGGAGCCGGCGTCGCTGCTCTGCTGGCTTTGGGCGGCCTTCCCGGGGCCTTGGAGGAAGTGCCCCCGCCCCACCCCCGCCCCCACCCCCGCATTTCCAGGAAGAGGGCCCTGAGGATCCCCACAGCGTGGGAAACACCTGGCGGAGCAACCTCAGACGTCAACAGGATGGCGAGCAGATAAACAAAGCGGTTGGGAGGAACGCGGCTTGTCCCCCCCAGCCCCGTGAAGGTGGGGGCAGGCTTGCAGGGAAGTCCTCCTCCTCCCCGGGGGAGTCATTTGGTGACGGCCTCGTGGAAATGGAAGAGCTTGTGGCCTGGGAGCAGCTGACCCCGGGGCGCCGGACACTCCGGGGCGCTTTCTGCTGCTACTCAACTTACAGTTGGGGAATGAATGCCAAGCTTTTTCCTACCTGTTGGTTCTGGACACTACTAACCTACTAACCCAACACTGTCGTGAGGATCACGTGACTTGTGAAAGGTGTGAAATGATGAGCAATGTCAAAACAGAAGCGACCCTATTGATTGAAGCTCTTGGTTCATAAAGGGCGAAATCATAACTCCCGTTAGCTTAAGTCATAAAAAAAACACAGCAAACAGCATGGATCACAGGACAGCCCAAGGACTTCCTGATTCAGGCAGGGCTAGATCCAGGTGCTTTAAACAATGTTATTAAGGCCCGGGACCCCTCTCTCTCTTTGGGATATGCTCTCTTCTGTTTGGACTTAATTCTCAGACAAGCTCCACTATTGGGTAGTAAAAATCACCCTTGGAAGCTCCAGGGCTTAACCCCAGAGCACGATGAGAAGGACTCCACCTACATTCCAAACAAAATCCCAAGGCTGACTCTCCCACTGAGTCCCACTGAGTCACGAGTCCATTTCTGAACCAATCAGTGAGGCTGGGGGCAGGGGTAGGGGAGGTAAATGCTCTGATTCATGGGCTAAGGTGGCAGTGCAGTCCCGGGATCTATATGGACACAAGAACTGGGTTGCCATGTCCAGAAGAGGAGCTCAGTGCCCAGCAGGCAAAGCACCACTCTTACAGGGCCCCAGCACGTGTGGGGCTCCCACAGAGGAGATGCCCATCCACTTCCGTTCCTACCCCACTCCACGTCCTGGAAACAAAGGCACAGGTGGTTTCCTCCCCTCTAACTGATCCAGCACCAGTGTTGAATGACATGCAAGTGCTTATCCGTTCACTGGGGGTGGTTCCAGCTCTGGGCTACTGTCACTGCCTGGCCCTGCTCACTCGACCACACTGCCTTCCCGTCCTGGACTCCGTGCTGACTTTTGTCAGAAAGATTTGGGGTGGGGGAGGTCTCCTTTGGTTTTCTTCACTAGAGTGGAGTTCTTTGCATTAATGCAGGGATGCATTTTATTTTTATTATTTTATAAATTTCATGAGAGACACAGAGAGAGGGAGAGACACAGGCAGAGGGAGAAGCAGGCTCCATGCAGGGAACCCGATGTGGGACTCGATCCCAGGACCCCAGGACGATGCCCGGGCTGAAGGCAGATGCTCAACCGCTGAGCCACCCTGGCTGCCCAGGGGTGCATTTTATAGGTCATGTGTCTGCTTGGACAGCCTGACAGCAGCGTCCCTGGAGGAGGGGCCTCACAGGGCAGACAGGTGGGTTGGGGGCCAGCCAACCTCTGTCTGGTTGCAGAGAGAGTATTTTCAGAGAACTGGTCCATTCCTGTCCTACAAGGAGATGAAGGTGGCACGCAGACAGGACACCGGAAGGCAAAGATCTTTTCTTCCTGTGTGTTTTTACTTTTTTTTTTTATTTTAAAATTTATTTATTATTTTACTTATTTATTCATGAGAGACACACAGAGAGAGAGGCAGAGACACGGGCAGAGGGAGAAGCAGGCTCCATGCAGGGAGCCCGATGTGGGACTCGACCGGGACTCCAGGGTCATGCGCTGGGCCGAAGGCAGGCGCTAAACCGCTGAGCCTCCCAGGGATCCCCTTTTTACATTTTTTTTCTTTTTACATTTTTTTTAACAATATCAGTTATGTTTATTCTGATTCTTTTTTTTGAAGGTTTTTTTTAAGATTTTTTATTTATTTATTCATAGAGACGCAGAGAGAGAGAGAGAGAGAGGCAGAGGGAGAAGCAGGCTCCATGCAGGGAGCCTGACGTGGGACTCGATCCCAGGTCTCCAGGATCACGCCCTGGGCTGCAGGCGGCGCTAAACCGCTGCGCCACCGGGGCTGCCCCTTTTTACATTTTTTTGAGGCAAATTTCACATAACATAAAATTAACTGTTTTAGAGAGCGCCCTTCATTGGTGTGAATGCATGCACAATGTTGCATAACCATCAACCCCATCTAATTGTGGGACATGTTTATCACCCCAGAAGGAAATCCCATACCTGTTCCCAGTTACTCCTCCTCTTCCTCGCCCCTCCCTGGCTCCCACCACCTCCTCTCTGTCTCTGTGGATGGGCCTCCTCTGGGGACCTCCTGGGAGTGGGGTCCTGTAGGACGTGTCCTTCTGGGTCTGGGTTCCCTCCTTGAGCCCGGTGTCCTTGGGGTCTGTCCACGTGGGGGCAGGCGTTGGGGTCCGGTCCCTTCCTTCCTGAGGCTGGGTCGCATTCCGGTATATGGAGGGCCCATTCACCCGTTGATACTTTAACTCCCACCCTTTGTCTGTTGTGGGTAATGCTGCTGTGAACATGGCTGGGCCAGAATCTGTTTGGGTCCCTGCTTTCAATTCTCTTGTGTACATACCTAGGAGGGGAGTCTTTGCGTCCGAGGGTAATTATTTTCGAAGAACTGCCATACTGTTTCCCATGGTGGCTGCACCACTTTATATCCCTACCTCTATGTCTTTTTGTATATTGAGAGTTTAAAAACAGGCAGAAGGGCAGCCCCGGTGGTGCAGCGGTTTGGCGCTGCCTGCAGCCTGGGGTGTGATCCTGGAGACCTGGGATCGAGTCCCACATCGGGCTCCCTGCGTGGAGCCTGCTTCTCCCTCTGCCTATGTCTCTGCCTCTCTCTCTGTGTCTATGAATAAATAAATAAAATCTTTAAAAAAATAAATAAAAATAAAAACAGGCAGAAAAAGGGGCACCTGGCTGGTTCGGTCGGTGGAGCATGTGACTCTTGCTCTTGGGTTCGTGAGTCTGAGCCCATGTTGGGCATAAAGCTAACTTAAAAAAAAAAAAAAAACAGGCATAAAAATACATTGAGGAGATTCATTTTTCATTTGCAGAAAATCTAGTCTTTGCTTTTGACAACATGCCAAACATCATGAAAATTAAAAAAAAAAAAAAAAAAAAAAAGAAGCAACCAAATAGGGGCTCTAGGCTACCTTGAGTGGCACATCCAGGAGTGGAGAGATGTGTAAAATAGAAAATGAAAGCACACATTGATCTGACTCTCTGTTTGGAAGAGAAAAAGGAAAGTGACCAGCTGCGAACAAATTTGTTTCCTGGAGTGTTGTTTTAGGGCATAAATGGGGGCATGAGGCGATGCTTTGCAAACTACAAGAAACACACAGGGGTGGATTCTCAGGGCCCTGCAGGGGTGAGGAGGCTGGTGGCAGCAGGATCACCAGGAGGATCCCTTCACCCCTCCAGCCGCCCCCTCCCAGGATAGACATTTAACCCATCTTCTGGGAGGAAATTCCTTGGTTCTTGCAGGAAGGAAACAGGGAGGAAATGGAAAAATGAAAATTACCCTGTCAGGGCCCCTGTGGATCTGAATTCTCCTCCACACTCAGCAATGGGGTTAGACCGGGATCTTCCAACCTGTGCACTTGCGGACACTGGGGGTTGGTTGGGCTGGGGGTGTCCTGTGCACCGCAGGGTGTCGAGTGACATCCCAGGCCTGCAGGTTTTGATGCCATTTGATGCCAAGTGCACCGCCCCCCATCACAACCACCACAAATGTGCCCGACCTCTCCCACCGTCCCCCTGACCCTGGCTGAGAACCGCTGGGTCAAACCTGTTGGACTCGAATGAATAACTGGAGTTGCTCATCAAATTACCATGCACTGCCCGGCAGAGTCAGGAGGTCCTCTCCGGCTACTGTACAGTCAGGAAAACTGAAGCCAAGAATCGCCCAGTCCGAGACCCGTAGGAGAACCTGAGCCCCCAACTCTCTGCGGACGGCCCCGGTGGAGCCACGTGGCAGCAGCTAGCTGGGCTCGGGGCGCGCTGCAGTGGGTGCCGTGTGCGCCTCTGCCTCAGTCCCCCTAGTCTGATTTCCGGAACGGCGCCCAGGGTCCTCTTTTCCCCGCGGCCGCCGAGGGGGGTCTCGAACCCTCAACTCCGCGCTCCCCCGCGCTCCAGCGGGTCTCGGGAGCGGCGCTCGGGGGACGGACGGCGCTTCGCGGCCCGGCGCGCAGCCTTGTGGGGATTGTAGTCCCGGCCCCGCCCCTGGTCCCGCGCCGACCCCGCCCCTGGAACTACGCTCCCGTCGTGCCCCGCGGCGCGGGCGGAGGCGGGGCAGGCGGTTGGTTGCTAGGACTTGGCAGGCGCAGCGCTCGCGTGTGGCGCTTCAGGTAAGCGCGGGGCTCCGGGGGGCTCGGTTCTCGCGGCCCGGGCTCCACGGACGGCAAGTCGGGGTGGCGGCTTGGGCGGGGGTGGGGGTGGATTCTCGGCCGGCGAGGCCGCCGGCCGCGCCGGGGGCGAGGAGGCAGCCGGAGGCATCGGCGCGTGTGCGCGTGCGCGCGGGGCGGCCGGACCGAGGGCCGCCGCTCCCCGCGCCCGGGTGCGCGTGCGCGCGCCCCTGCGGCCGGCGGTGGAGACCCCGTGCGCCAGCGGCTCGCTCGGCCCCTCCCCCCGCGCGCGAGCCTGGGGTCATCCCGGCCGGCCCCCCGCCGCCGCGCCGCCGGTTTACTGGTGTCCCCGCTTGCAGGCGTCGTAAAGATTGCGGAAGGCGTGAGTGGCCGGGGCCTTCCCTCCCCCCGCCCCCCGGCAGAGGGGTCCCCCGCACCCCGCGTGCCCCCACGTTCTGGAACTTCCATGCGCAGGAGGCCGCGTGGTCCGTGTAAGCGACGGGGCACACTGCCTCCGAGGAGCCCTCCGGGACTGCCCGCTCTCGAGACTGTGGGGTCCCTCGCGCCGCCGTCCCTGGGGGGGGGGTGACCCCGGGGCCCAGCTTCTGGCCTCCCTGTCTCCTCCGGGGCTAGAGCAGCCGCAGGCCTGAGCCCCACGGGGGCTGCCTGCAGAGCCCGAGTCCGCCCCGCCAGGCCTGCCGGGGGTCGTGGGCAGTTCCAGGGCACCCCCGATGGCGGTGGGATGCCGTGGGGGGCTGTAGCGACCTGTGTCCCTGGGGCTGCCTGTGCACCGGACCCCCGCCGGGGCCCGCGCGCTGGAGGCCGGGCACCGACCATGAACCAAGGGCTTGTGAGCAGCCGCGGAGATGCCCGGCCCGGGCCACACTGGGCAGGAGCAGCGGAGGCTTGGAGGGCGGCCGAGGGGGCGGCCGAGGGGGCAGCCGGGTGCCTGGAGCCCGCTCCTGGGCGTGAGCACGTGTGCGCCGTCGCCGGGTGCAGCGGGCCGGGCTCAGCAGGTCACCGACTCCGGACGCTGCTGCTTTCTCACCCCCCCCCCCCCCCCCCCCCCCCCCCCGGGTGCAGGGCCTGTGCCTGGTCAGTCCCGACTCTGCCTTCCTGCCTCGGCCCCCAAAGCCCTTCCAGCCCTCGGAGCCTCGTCGGGGCTTGTAGGAAGGGTTTGTTCCCCGAGCTCCCTCCTGGGTCGCTGGGAGGACGTGTGGCCGCTACAGCCCCGGCAGCTGTCGGCCAGGCCTCGTGTGCGCGTCTGCTGACCGGGCAGCTGCCCATGTCCCACCCCGCCCGCTTTCTTCAGCAGGCTCGCCGAGGGGAAGTTCGGCCGTTTAAAACAGAAGTATCTGTGGTTTTTAGGGTATTTGTGGGGTCATCACAAGTTGTCATCGTGGTATTATTCCAGAACATTCCATCGGCTCCAAAGTAGTCACTCCCCATCACCCCCCGAGCCCCCTGCCCGTGCGTGGACGAGCCCGTCCTGGACGTGTCACACCTATGGGCTCCCACCCTGTGGGGCCTCCTGTGTCTGGTTCCTGAGCGTCATGAGCTGGGGTCCGTCCCTGGGGCGGCATGGAGGGGGGCTTCCCCCGTTTGTGGCTGAGTACTGTGCCGGTGTGTGGATGGACACGTTGCGTGTATCCGCCTCTCCACTGAAGGACACGGGCCGTGCCCACCTCCCGGCGCTGCGAATCCTGTGCTATGAACACACGTGCACAGGCTGCCTTGGACGCGTGTTCCCGGTGCTCCCGGGCACATACCTGGGCATGGACTGGAGCAGCCACTGGTCAGACAGTGACTGCTGTGGTTTCCACCCATCCTGCCCGGGAGCTGGCACCGGAGCCCACAGTGTCCCAGTGGCAGGCTCCTTTGCTTGCCACCTGTTCTAACGAGACAGCTGTACTTTCAGAGGAACAAGCAAGACTCTGTGTCTTGCCATACAGATGAGCTGTCGTGGCCGGTGCGGGCTGCGGGGTGCTGGGCGTGGTGTGTGCTGGGGGTCGGTGCGGAGTCGGCGCCGCGGACCTTCCCTCCGTGGGAAGTGCTGCAAGTGCCGGGGGGCCGTGTACACATTCCACTCCTCGGAGCTGCCCCCAGCACCCCTGGTTCTGCACGTTTGCCAGACTTGCGTCGTGAGCTCGGGACGTAGCATGGTGGGCCAGGATGTCACGGGCAGGTCATCCTCCAGCAGGTCTGGCCGATGAATACGGGGGGTTCTGTGCAGCTGATGCGTGTGCTGGGAGACGTGTCGCAAGAGGTAGAAGCGCACGGTTGTCAGATGGGGGCCCGTCCACTCCAGGATGCCGGCGGGCCGCGTGCTCCGGGTGCACGGTGGCACCTTGGGTCCTCCAGCATCAGGTCGAGATGGCGGGTAATTGAGGCCTGACGTTATCTGAGCCGGTCCCGACCCACAGGGTCAAGATGCGAGGGTCGTGCGTAACATTTAGTGCCCTGGCAGCCCCGGTTCCAAAAACTGCTCAAAGGAACAGGTGAAGTTATTAACGCGTCTGTTTAAGCTAAAACACGGAGCGTGATCACCTGAGCCCGAGGCCAACGTGAAGACGATTAAAGGAGACGATTCCCGTTCTTTTTCTCGCTAAGTCTCCGCCACCCAGGGCGCGTGTTCGCTGGCGGTTCGTGTCAAAGGGACACGGGACTGTCGATGACGGTTTAAGCTGTGCCGACCCGGAGTTGGGAGGACGTGAGCCCGAGCGTGGCCAGGGCTGCAGTGTGTGTGGGCGGAGCTCTCCGAGGAGCCTTCAGCCGCCGCGCTCGCCACGCTCCGGGACCTGGGACGGACCTGGGACGGACTCCTGCGGCTTCCCCGCCTCCTGCGCTGACGGATGATGCTCTGCTCCGATCTCTATCTCCCACAGTCGGAGCCGTGCCAAGGATGGACCCCGCCCCGGGCCCCGTGGAGCAGCGTGGGGACGAGAAGACCGGGAGCCCCGAGCAGGAGCCCGAGCGCTGGCAAGCCCTCCCGGTCCTGTCCGAGCAGCAGTCCCAGGACGTGGAGCTGGTGCTGGCCTACGCCGCACCCGTCCTCGACAAGCGCCAGACCTCGCGCCTCCTCAAGGAGGTGTCGGCCGTCCACCCACTGCCCGCCCAGCCTCACCTCAAGAGGGTGCGGCCGAGCCGCGATGCCAGCCGCCCGCATGCGCTAGAGATGCTGCTGTGCCTGGCGGGGCCGGCCGCGGGCACCAGGTCGCTCGCCGAGCTGCTCCCGCAGCCGGCCGTGGACCCTCGGGGCCTGGGCCAGCCCTTCCTGGTGCCCGTGCCTGCCCGGCCGCCCCTGACCAGAGGCCAGTTTGAGGAGGCGCGGGCCCACTGGCCCACATCCTTCCACGAGGATCGGCAGGTGACTCGTGCCTTGGCCGGGCGGCTCTTCTCGGCGCAGGAGCGGACAGCGATGCAGGGCCACATGGAGCAGGCCGTGTGGGCCGCTCGGCAGGCGGCTGCCAGGGGCCTGAGGGCGGTGGGGGCCGTGGTGGTGGACCCGTCCTCAGGCCGAGTGCTGGCCACGGGTCACGACTGCAGCAACGCGGCCAGCCCCCTGCTGCACGCCACCATGGTGTGCATTGACCTGGTGGCCCAGGGCCAGGGCCGTGGCGCCTATGACCTCGGCCCCTACCCCGCCTGCTCCTTCGTCCCAGCCGTTACTCCCCAGAGCGTCCGGGTGGGCTCCGTGCGCAAGCTGGACGAGGATGGGGACATGCGTGACGACAGCGTCCCCTATGTGTGCACGGGCTACGACCTCTACGTCACCCGCGAGCCCTGTGCCATGTGCGCCATGGCCCTGGTACACTCCCGCGTGCAGCGCGTTTTCTACGGGGCACCCTCGCCCGACGGTGCCCTGGGGACCCGCTTCCGCATCCACGCACGGCCTGACCTCAACCACCGCTTCCAGGTGTTCCGTGGTGTCCTGGAGGCCCAGTGCCGCCGCCTGGACCCTGGCGCGTAGACAGCGGGGCCCGCGGGCTTCCGGACCTTGCTCTGCTCCGACGGCTCGGCCTCCTGTCAGACTGCACCCGCAGGCCTTTGCCTGTCTCGCTGTCGCCTAGGGGCTGTGGTCCCATTGGGCAGTTTTCGGGACAGCTTGCGTCTCCCTCCCTGAAGCCGGACCCCATGCTGTTCCCACTGGTGTGTGGGGATGCGTTTGTGCCCAGACTGAGCTCATCCCTGGGCCTGAGCTTAGCGCGGGTCCAGCCTGGCCCGGAACCTGGGCACGTGCTCTTCCTTGCTCCAACCACCTTCAGGCCCGAGCCCGAGGGTCCCCTGGGACAGTGTCCCCTTTGTCCCAGGTGTCGGAAAACGGCCCTGCTTGTGAAAATAAACAACCCCAAACCAGGTTGGTGTCTGTTGGCAGAGGCAGGGGGCCATGGTGGCCAAGGGTACATGGGTCGGGGTGATGGCTACTTCAAGATTTGGCGCTCGTATAGGGAAGTGGAGCTCTGAGCGCAGGGGGAGGAGCGCAGCCCCCCGCGGCACCTCCCTGCCGTGTCCTAGGCCTCAAGGGTGTGGCCGGCCAGGGCTGTTTACACTAGTGTGTAGCCTGCCAGCCTGGCCTCCACTCACCGAAAGCCTCCCGGTCGTCCTACCTCCTGCCCTTCACGGCTGGCAGGGGGACCCCACGGGGCGGGCCAGGGTCTGCTAGGCCTCAGCGCCAGAGCCCAGGTATGTCTGTCTGTCCGTGGCCCGTGTGGCTCAGCTCATCTCTGCTCTGAGCCTCCCCTCGAGCCCTGGGGTCTGCTCCAGCCGTGGGCGCGGGGCGGGCCGTGGGGCGGGGCTGTGAGCCCACCGGGCGTGCGGCCGCCGAGGGTCTCCTGAGGGTGGTGTGGGCCCTGGGAACTCTGCCACTGGAACCTCGTCACCTAGACAAGCGCGGGAAAGAGGCCTGCAGTTCCTGTTGGGTGCCCACCTCCAGGGACGCGGCCCCGGCCCCCACCAGCGCCCGTGCTGGGGTGCCGTGGTGCCCGGTGGGTGCTGGGCGTGGCCTCGTGACTCTGGCTTCCGTCCTGGAGGTGGCAGCGCGCACCCACAGGGAACCAGCAAATTCCCCGCAGCCGCGCGCGTTGGTGGCAGCCGGCTGTCTGGGGCCGCTCGGTGACAGCCGCTCACCTGGTTCCGTGTGGGAAGGGCCACTGGGAGCCAGGCGCGTCCCCAGGGGCTTCGCTTGGGCTGTGGCGAGGTCCTGAGCTCCGTGAGGCTGGCAGGCAGCGCCGCAGACCGCGGAGGGCGCGTGACTTGGGTAACGTCTCGCAGTGGCGGCGCCAGGGGTCCAGCTCTCCGTGGCCCTGAGGAGGTGCTCAGAGCCGCTCAGGGATAGACAGGAAGCTGGGGGCCGTGGGGGAGGCCAAGGAGTGGGACGAGGAGGTGGGGGGGTCCCCGGAGAATTTTGGTTGTGGCCCAGCGTGTGAGGGGGCAACGGCCTGAGGCTCTCCTGCTGGCACAGGAGCTGCCCGGGGCTGGGGGGGGTGGCGATAGCTTGGGAGCAGGGCACACACACCTCCGGGGGTGGCCTGGAGGTGAGGACTGTGGCTGTGGTATCGGGGCCCCGCAGCGGCCTTGGGGACCTCCTGACTGTGGCTGTCTCCCCTCCAGGTGGCTGCAGCCTTCTGCCCTGCCCAGCTGTCAAGCGGAAATGTCTGGTGAGTCTCGCCCAGAGGCCCTGCGGCGGGGGACCCGGCTTCTCGGTTCCCCCGGGAGTGTCCCCTGGTGGCCGGGCTATAATGCCCTGCCCCTCCCCGGGGGTGCACACCACTCTCCCCACGAGGGGTGTTGGGTCGCTTCCTAGTTCTGAGCCAGATGACGGGGCGATGCCAGGTTCCACGGCCAGGCCTTCTGCCTCAGGCCCATCTGGTCGTGGACTTCCGAGGGTGTGAGGTTTGGGCACCTGGGTTCACACCTACACGCGTCAGGCGCCACTCACTCTCAGGTTTGCCTGCCTCGTACCGCTCAGAATGAGGGGTGGAGGCTGCAGGTAAAATGACGTGGGCCCTGGAGGGGGTGCTGGTGGCCAGGTGGGATCTCTCTTGGGACCTTGGACGGGAGCCAGTGACCGGGGCGTGGACTGTGATTCCGTGTGGGGAGGCCCTGCTCCCCCGTCTGACTGCAGAGGCTCAGGGTGGGATCGAAGCCCCTCTCTGCTCATGCTCGGGACAGGCCGTGGCTTCCTGCGTCACTTGGTAAATGCCTGAGGCCTCTCCGGGGTCAGTAAGGGGAGGTCTGTGTCCATCTGGCCACCCCTCCGGCCCCCTCTCGGTCAGCTGCCATTCGCACCACTGCCCTCCCCCAGAACCCACTGGGCTCTCCTTCACTTTCTGGAGTCTTTATTCAAAGACCATCTTTTTCAGCGAGGCCTAACTGGGCTACTCTTATACGTATGTGCTTTTTTAAGTGTTTCATTTATTTATTTATGAGAAGGAGAGTCCCAGGCAGAGGAGGAGAAGCAGGCCCCCTGCAGGGAGCCCAGTGTGGACTCAATCCCAGGACCCCAGGATCACCTTCACTGGGCTGAAGGTAGACGCTCAACTGCTGAGCCACCCGAGCGTCCCTGCCTTAATTTTTTAAGTAGGCGGCACACCCGGCACGGAGCCCCAGTGCAGGGCTCAGTCTCACAACCTCACGACTGTGAGATCGAGACCTGAGCTGAGATGGAAAGTCCGGTGCTTACCCACCCGAGCCACCCAGGCACCCTGCCCCTCCTCTTAGAGGGCAGCCGGCCAGCACCCCAGCACACACATCCCTGTCAGCCCCCACCCGCCGCAGCGTCTGCACACACACTCATTCGCTGGGATTGTCGATCTCCCCCGGCCAGAAGGGCAGCCCCTCGAGGCCACGGCTGGCTGCTTTTGTTCATGAATGAGCCCCCGAGGTGCTCCCGAGACGTGCCCAGCCACAGGGTGATGTTGAAAGGCTGAGGGGCGGCGCTGACCAGTGACCGTGTTACAGGCCGAATCAGGTCTCCAGTCCTGACCCCTGGGCCTGTGAAATGGGGTCTTAGTTGGAAGCAGAGTCGTGTGTGTGATTAGTAGACAGGAGGCCACAGTGGAGCCTAGGACCCAGCGATAGGTATTCTTAGACGCACAGGGGAGGTGGCCTCGTGCCACCAAGGCAGGCATCAGAGCGAGGCGGCCGCAGGCCGAGGGTCCCCCAGGCCCCAGGAAGCTGGGAGAGGCAGGAAGGACCCTCCACCGAGCCCCGGAGGACGCGCGGCCCCGCCACACCTCGACCTCAGACTTCTGGGCTCTGGGACGGGGAGAGAATAAATCTCTGTGGTTGGTGGCCGTGCCGTAGAGCTGCCCCAGGAAGGTCGTGTGCCCAGAGTGCGGAACCTTCCCTGGAGGCGGACTTAACGGTGTCTGGGCGCTGTGCGAGTCTGTGTGACCTCCCTGCCTGTTCTTAGGAGTCAGCACAGTGTCATGATTTAAACCACGTTTATGGGATCCCTGGGTGGCGCAGCGGTTTGGCACCTGCCTTTGGCCCAGGGCGCGATCCTGGAGACCCGGGATCGAATCCCACGTCGGGCTCCCGGTGCATGGAGCCTGCTTCTCCCTCTGCCTGTGTCTCTGCCTCTCTCTCTCTCTCTCTGTGTGTGACTATCATAAAAAAAAAAAAAATTTAAACCACGTCTATCATTCCGCGTTGTGAAGTCAGGGGTCCTCAAACCCAGGTGCAGGCAGGGCTGGTTCCGCCCTCCCCCCCCCCCCCCCGGGCCCTAGGGAGACCCCTCCAGCCTTGTCCCGTCCAGAGGCCAGAGGCGCCCCCTCCTGGCCCGCGGCCCCTCCTCCGTCCTCACTGCCAGCAGCCTGGGGCCTGTCTCTGGGGCTTCCTCGGGAGGACCTGGTGAGGACGCCGGGAACCCAGGGTCACCCTCACCGCGGGGCCTTGGACGAGGTCCCATGTGCTGCGGGAGGTGACGCGTCCGCAGGTTCTGAGGAGGGACGCGTTTGGGGCTGTCGCTGAGGCCCCCCGCCTGGTCTCGTCCCTGGTGTTTTCTGTCCCTGCAGAAAAGGAGAACAACTTCCCGCCGCTGCCCAAGTTCATCCCCCTGAAGCCCTGCTTCTACCAGAACTTCTCCGACGAGATACCCATCGAGCACCAGCTCCTGGTGAAGAGGATCTACCGGCTGTGGCTGTGTGAGCCCGCGGGCGGGGCGGGCGGGGCCTCCCGTCTCTCTGACCCCAGACCGCGGAGCCGGCCCCGGCCCCCGTGAACCCAAATTTTGGGCCCAACTTTGCCTTTCTAACCAAGTGATGTCCCCTGAGCTCCCCCGGCCCCGAGATGCTCGTGCTGACCAGAGCCGCGGCCCGGCTCTCCATGGGTGGGGGGTCCTGGCCTGCTGCCCGGCGCCCCCTCACCCTCCTCGCCCCCCTCCCCAGTCTACTGTGCCACCCTGGGGGTCAACCTCATTGCCTGCCTGGCCTGGTGGATCGGCGGCGGCTCGGGAGCCAACTTTGGCCTGGCCTTGGTCTGGCTGCTGCTCTTCTCTCCCTGTGGCTACGTGTGCTGGTTCCGGCCCGCGTACAAGGCCTTCAGGTGAGTCGGCGTGGGGCTGTGCGTCTGCGGGGCCTCGGGGAGCGGCTGGTGCTCCGGGGCGAGCCAGGACGCCTGACCTTGTGCTTGGGCCACGAGCCTGTCGCCTGGCACGGGTACAGGAACCTTTCTCCCGTCCTGTTTGCGGGACGGCTTCTGCCCTGGGTCCGCAGACTGCAGCCAGCTGTGGCCTGTGTTGCCTTCTGGTGACTAAACTGAGGGACGCTTCACGTGTTAGCTGACTTCCCGTTTCAGTGTTCGGTGCTTTCACGGCGTCGTGGAGCTATCGCTTCCATGTAGTTCCAGAACATTCTCTCCCCACTGAGGCAACCCCGTCCCCATCAGCTGTCACTCCCCCTCTCCCGGCCCCCCCATCCCCCTCCCTGTGCGTGGACGAGCCCGTCCTGGACATGTCACACACGTGGACTCGCACCCCGTGGGGCTTCCTGTGTCTGGTTCCCTCCCTGAGCGTCCTGGGCTCCTCACTCCTATTCCCGGTCAAGCGATGCTCCCATGTGTGGTGGACACGCTGCGTGTACCCACCCTGGGTTGTTGGCAGCCCGTGGCTTCTGTGGACACTGGCCCCCCTGGGCCCGTTGCTCCGGAGCTGCCGTGCTTGCCCCTACGTGGTCCGAGTCCCAGGCTCTGAGTCCGTGGGAAGCGTCCCTGAGGGGCCCTCCTTGACGAGAGCTGGAAACCCGCGTGTGTGCGGAGGCCGGGAGGGGCTGTTCTCCGGGCCGCGGGCCGGCTCAGGCCGCCTCGGCAGGAACGCAGGGGTGTGCTGACTGCCTGGGAGCGGCCCTGCCCCTTCCGCCTCCACCTCCCAGGACCCTGCCGTCCTTCAGTGAGCTGGAGGCCGCCTGGGCAGAGGAGCGGTCCCCGTCCTCCGGGAGTGTGCAGAGCGTCCTCGGTCTGCCGACGCACCTTCTCCCTGGTTAAGCCCCCGCAACCACGGGAGCGTCAGCCGCTCGTACTGAGATCCCTCCGGTCCCTCTGCAACCAGGAGCGTGTCAGGGTGCAGCGGGTTTCCAGCATCTCGGCCCCGCAGAGCCCAGGCCCCGTCCAAGCACACATGGGGTGCGGCTGGGGAGGGCGCAGACCCCCGTGGGCCCTGCCGTGTGCGAGGGTGGCGGTGACGGCGGCGGTGACGGCCGTCCCCTCTCCTCTCCAGAGCCGACAGCTCCTTCAACTTCATGGCGTTCTTCTTCATCTTCGGAGCGCAGTTTGTCCTGACCGTCATCCAGGCGATCGGCTTCTCGGGATGGGGCGCATGGTGAGCCAGGCCGCGGAGCCCGGGCGTGCCGCGTGTTCGCTGTGGGGCGGGAAGAGCCCGAGCCGCCTGGGGCGTGAGACGCGGCGCGTGTGCTGCCCCAGCCTCTGAGCACTCGGGGCGGCATGGGCATGGGCAGGGCTGGGGCTGGGTCCTGCCTGGGACATGCTCACGGGCCCCCAGGAGGCTGGGTGGTGTGCCCCTGCGGTGTGTCCGGGAGGAGCGGTCAGCGGGCGGCGGGAGGCCTCCCCAGGACAGTGACCCCGCAGCGAGCCAGTCTTCTGTCTGTGCGGAAGGTGTCGTACCCAGTGGTGTGGCTGTTGTCACAAGTTACAACAAACACTTATTTCTTGCTTCGGGGCTTAGGAATCTGATGTGACCTTCATGAAGCTAAAACTTGGGTGTGCGCAGGGCTGGTCCCCCCGGGGACCCAGGGAGAGCTCCTCCTGTCTCTCACCTTCCAGAGGCGCCCCCTCCCCGGCCTGCGGCCCCTCCTCCATCCTCGCCATCAGCATGGGGTCTGCCCATCTGTGGGGCTGCCCTCCTCTGCCTCCCTCTCGGGGGGACCCCCTGGGAACCCAGAGTCATCTCCACTCTGGGGTCTTGAACGAGGTTCCCTCTGCTGCGGGAGGGGACACCTCCCAGGTCCCAGGATGAGGATGTGGGTGCTTGCGGGGCTCCTGGCTGGCTGCAGGTCGTCATTGGCGTCGAGTGTCCCGTGGGTGACACCTGAGGCCGTCTGAGGGTGTCCCCTGCTTTGGTGCGGAGTCCTCTGTGTGTGCTCAGGTGGGCCCTGTGTGGCCTCTCAGTTGGCATCTTGTGGGGTTTTGATGGCCTCCCGAGCCTGCTCCTCAGCTCCTTCCTGTCGTCCACCTGCTCCTGTGTCTTATGACCCCTTAGAAGATCTAGAGGTCACCTTCTGCTCTAATCTGGGATTGTTTCCAGAAGAGCCTCCCCCAAGTCTTCCTGGTGAGCAGATGAGCTCTGTGTGGACCCTCGGTGTTGGGGTTCTCGGTTGATGCCCTCCCACATCTGGGTCTGGAGAGCCAGGGAGGGGCAGTTTTGGGATCCCAGGTGCGGGACGTGCCGGGGGCCCAGGGCTCAGCACACACTCAGCCCCGTGGCCCTGCCTTACACGGAGAGGACGTGAAGCACATGAGCTCAGGGCAGAGGCCGGGGGGGCGGGGCGGGGACACCAGGCTCCAACTCCCAGGGTCCTCCCCCGGGTGACCCACAGGACACGCTCAGTTCCCCCTACACGAGCCATGACCACGCGCGTGAGGCGTGGTCTCGGGGCTGATAGAGACCCAGTGCCCAGCTTCTCCACTGGGGTCGGTCTCGTGGGGCCCTCTGCCCGGCTCGCCCGGGACCCCAGGCTCAGGAGGGCAGCAGGTGCTCAGCACGAACCCCGTGTCTGCACAGACGGCTCAGCCTGCGAGGTGGCGGGAGCTGGGCGTCCGGTTCCAGACGCGGCAGAGGGCGTCTGGGGAGGGGTTTCAGGCCTGCGGTGCCAGCGCTCGTGCTCAGTGCCCCCCCACCCTGGTTTCCACCCTGGGCAGGCACGAAGGCCCGTAGAAAGGGGCCAGAGTTTCCCTTCCCTGCCTCAGTGCGGGCCACACGGGGCAGGTGACAGATGACCACCCGGCTGGTGAGCTTGGGCAGAGAGCTGCTCCGAAGTGTCTTCCGGTTCTGAGAAAGGAGGAGGACACAAGGACACAGACCCTGCGGTGGCGGCTCCAGGCCCATCTGGTCGCGCACAGGCTCCTGGTGCTCCCAGTCTGTCGCTGGGGGCGGGGCGGGGCAGCGTGGGGGCGGCCCCTGCCGCCTCTGGCTTGTTCCCACGGTTGGAAGAGATTCCTCCCTGTCCCAGGGCCACCCAGGCGGGTGCAGGGGGTCCGGTGCAGGGAGCGGGTGCAGGGGGCGGCCCCCAGGGCGCTGCTCTGCCAGACCACATCCTTTTGGAAGCCCAGGCCCGAGTCTCCCGCCCTCCTGAATCCTGGGGGCTGCCGGGCTCGAGGCCCCCTACCCGGGGCTGCATAGACGGCGGCTGCTGTGCCTCGTCCCTGTCCTCGGCCTTCTTCCTGGGGCACAGGCTCATCCTCCGAGGGGATGCTCTCGGGGGCCCGTGTGCGCCATCCCTGGCACCCAGCCAGCCCTGAATCCTGAGGCCCTCTCACTCCCCGCACACTCCAGATGCGCATCCGCTCTGTAAATGCTTCCCTGTGAGCCCGTAAAAGGGAGAGAACCTTCCAGACACAGGAAAGAATCCTACTTTTGCGTGTGTATCTATGAGTCTGATGCTGCGTCACACCCGAGAACCCGAGCTCCACCCCTTGGTACTCTCCGCTTGCTTAAATTCTGGCTTTTTAAGTGGGCTCTTCAGGGGCACCTGGCTGGTCAGCGGGGGGAGCATGCAGCTCTTCATCTCAGGGCCATGAGTTCCAGCCCCACGTTGGGCATGGGGCCTACTTCAAGTTTTAAAGAACTTTTTAAAAAGTCATAAAATTATAATTTGCTTTGAAGTGATCTTTTTTGAGTGGTTTATGATGATAGCTGTGCAGCCTGCGGACAATCCCTCCGGGGGCAGCAGGTGCATCTTCTTCGATGTTACCTGCCAGAGGTTGGGGGAAGTGGAACCAGCTCCCCGAAGGAGCAGGGGAAGCTGAAAGAGGGTTTCTTGGTAGAGGCTAAGGTACGCTCTGGCACCCCCTTTCTTTGGGGCTCTTGGGTCTGCGCACCAGGCATCTGTGCCCACCAAGACTTGCTTACTTGGAGCGTGTCCAGTTCTTCCAGCAGGATGGACCACTGCGCTGCCTCCACCCCTCTTCCTGACCCTCCAGCAAATGCTCTGATTGCTCCTTGAGCCTCGAGGGCAGGACCCTGGAGGGAGGGGCAGAGAACAGGAGGCTCTGGGGCCTGGGCTTAGCCCTGGGGTGAGCCTGGGGTGGGGTGCCCCGGTTTTCAGGAAGGTGCACACAGGACATTTTGCTTTAGCGGTTTGTCCAGATGCGGCCCCAGGTGGGTGTGCGTGCTTCTGTGCGTTGGATTCTCTGTGAAGCTCTCGCCAGTCTTTGCGCTCCTCCCTCCTTTCCAGTTGGTTTATCGAAGGAGGAGGTTTCATGGTCCTGTGCTCTCCCGCAGGTCAGTTTTTAGGATGATGATTTCCGTGAGATGTGTACCACAGACCAGAAGTTCACTCCTTCGTTTTATTTCTCTTAAAGATTCATTGGTTTGCTTATTTGAGAGAGGGAGCGCGTGCAAGCACGAGCGAAAGGGACAGTCTGAGGGAGAAGCAGGCCCTCCCCTGAGCAGGGAGCCCAGTGCAGGACTCGATCCCAGGACCCCGGGATCACGACGGCCTGAGCAGAAGGCAGATGCCTCACTAACAGAGTCCCCCGGGCGCCCCAGATCGTCCCTCTTCTGAAGTGAACAGTTCAGTGGTCTTAGTACATCCCGAAGGTCGTGCAGACATTACTTTTGTTTAGTTCAGGAATGTTCTGTCCCCACCAGAACGATCTACCCCCATCAGCCGTCACACACACCCCTGCCCAGCCCCCCCCCCAGCCCCCTCCCCGTGCATGGACGAGCCCATCCTGGACGTGTCACACACATGGACTCACACCTTGTGGGCCCTCCTCGAACGTTGGGGGCTGGGTGTCTGTCCCAGGGGTGGCATGTGGGTGCCTCACTCCTGCTCATGTGGCCCAGGGACATGCCTGTGTGCGGGGGACACACTGTGTGCTTCTGTCCACTTGCCGATGGGCTTTGGGGTATCTATAGGTGTTGCTCCCATCAGCAGGGCAGCTGTGACACGTATGTCCGCATCTTGAGTGTGCGCCCGGCTATGGAATTGCTTGGTGACGCAACAGCTGTGCTGACCTGGGGGTTGCTGGACTCCCCACATCCCGTGTCTGTGCTGCCCTTTCACATGCCCTGTTGTCCTCTGTGTGGTTCCAGCCCACAAGCTCCTGCCTGAGCAGCTCAGGGGAGCACCTGGCAAACCCACCCCCTCCTCACCCCTGCCCTTCATCTCCAGGTCTCTCTCCATCCTCCTTGCTCCCCACCGCTGACGCCTTGGCCTCTTGGTGACACGGCTGGTACGCAGCAAGCCCGGTCACTCAGGCAGCTGTAGCTGACGGAGGCCGGTTGGTCATCCCTAGAGCCTGAGTGTGGTCATGCTGGGTGGTGAAGGACACTCTTCTCGGTCCTGGTCCTGCTGGGAGGCTGGTGCTATGGAGCAGGCTCCCCAGCCCCCACCCCTGCCTGTGGGTGCATGCACCCTCCCCAGAGACCTCAAACCTCAGGCTAGGGCCCCTGCCCGCTTGGCCCCTCTTCTCAGTGCTCCAGACCTTTTGGGAGGATAGTAGTCCCGGGAGTGACGCTCCCCAGCAGAGCCAGCGCTTCCTCCCCTCCCAGGAGCCTCTGACCACCCAGCCCCGCCTGAGCCCTCCAGCCGCCCAGCTCTGCCAGCACCTGATTCCCCGCCCTGCCCGCACCTGCTCCCCCAGCCCGGCCCTGCCTGCAGGTGCTCCCCTTGCTTGCACCTGCTTCCCCGGCCGGGCTCGCACACACTCTCCTGGCCTGGCTAAGGCTCCCTCCCAGCAGCTCTTCCAGCTGCCCCGGGCTGAGTGGGGACGGGCAGCACGTGTGTCCCCAGCGGCCAGCACAGTGTGAGCCTGGGGCCCAGGGGCTCCTCTGGCTGCCCCTATGTTGTGCACGTGGATGACGGGGCCACGCAGCCTGCCTCGTTCGGAGCGTGGCGCGTGGTCTCCTGAACGTGCCTGCGGGGAACCCACGTGTGCTGACTGCACGCCAGTCGCGCTGGTCCCGGAGGCTCGAGCAGCTCGCAGACCAGCACAGGCAGCCTCCAGAGAGGCGGGGCCCTGCCTCGTGGGTGCTGGGGGTGGCTGGATGCGGCCTTCGGCTCCTCGGGGGTGATGCTCCTGGGAGCAGGGCTGCAGGGGCAGCGCGCGTGTGGCCAGTGGATGTGGCCAGTGGGACACGGGGACGCCAGGGGACCACGGTGAAACCTGAACACCGCGCGTGGTTCAGTTAAGGTAGTGAGCCAGCGTCCATCCTGGTCGCTTTATGTGCTTCTCTGTTCCCGAGGCTCCAGCCCTGTGTGTGTGTGGAGGGGGGGTTATCCGTCCAGAAAAATAAAATCTCCAGGGCAGCCCGGGTGGCTCAGCAGTTTAGCGCCGCCCTCAGCCCAGGGCATGATCCTGGAGACCCAGGATCGAGTCCCACGTCGGCTCCCTGCATGGAGCCTGCTTCTCCCTCTGCCTGTGTCTCTAATAAATAAATAAAATCTTAAAAATAAATAAATAGGGATCCCTGGGTGGCGCAGTGGTTTGGCGCCTGCCTTTGGCCCAGGGCGTGATCCTGGAGACCCGGGATCAAGTCCCACGTCGGGCTCCCTGCATGGAGCCTGCTTCTCCCTCTGCCTGTGTCTCTTCCTCTCTCTCTCTCTCTCTCACTGTGTGCCTATCATAAATAAGAAATAAATAAATGAATGAATGAATGAATAAATAAACAAACAAACAAACAAATAAATAAATGAATAAATAAATAAATAAAATCTCCAGCAGGGTTGCTCCCCATCTCTCACTGTAAGAGGCAAGTGTGGGTGTTAGCCCGAGTGTGGTGTCGCAGGGCCTTGCCGTGCCCGCTCTCTCCCGTCGCTTCCCCGACACCACGTCAGCGTTCCCCTGAGGGGCCGCGGCACGCTGCACGTCCGTGTGGTCTCCCGTGTGGTCTCCAGCCGGTGAACGTCCTCGTGGTTACGTGTGATCCTGCGGCGTTCGTTCTCAGGAGGCGGTGGCCTGGGAGCAAGAAATGAGCACCTGGCGGTTTTGTAGGTAACGGCCACTGCTCCTGACCGGGAGGGGCACACGCCCGCCGGCGCAGGGCTGCTCTCGGCCCCTCACACGCGCTGCGCTCGCCTGCGTGACAGTGGAACGCGGAGACCCTGTTCTTTCATCTTTTAAAGGTTTTATGTATTCATGAGAGACTCGCAGGCAGAGGGAGAAGCAGGCTCCATGCAGGGAGCCCAAGGCAGGACTCAATCCCGGGACCCCAGGGTCATGCCCTGGGCGGAAGGCAGGTGCTCCTGGGGGGCCCCGAGCCCCCTAGGCCCCCGTTCTCCCTCGTTGCTGGGTTTGAGCTTTGTGTATTTGCTGGCCCCTGCAAGTCTTCGTACGAATTGCTGATTTTCCGCTGCTGGTTTATTTTTTTCTTGTCCGTTTGTCGGAGCACTTTACATATGAACGTGCTGGCCCTCGGCTGGCACCCACGCTCTTTCTCGGCCCTTGCAGTGGTTGGCTGTCAGCAATCGGGTTCTTCCAGACCAGCGTCGGGGCCGCCGTGGTCATGCTCTTTCCAGCCATCCTGTTCTCCGTGTCCGCTGCCATGATGGCCATTGTGATCGTGAAGGTGAGTCCTCTGCATCCTGCGACTTCTAGCCTGTTCGCAGGCAGCCTGTCACCTGATCCTCCCAGGTTCTGGGGGCTGGTCTCATCCACATTTCAGGAGCAAGAGACCGAATGGGAACGAGCTCATCTGTACAAGGTGGACTCGGGGAAGCGTGTAGCGTGGGCCGCTGCTGAGCACACCTGCCTTAGGGGGCACCCCCGCCCCGGCCCCGAGGACGTGTGTGTCCCAGGGTGTGCTCTGTGCTGCCCGGCTGGGCCCGCCGCTGGACGCCTGCTACCACGGGCAGTTACACTGGGCACCCGCCTCCACTCACGTCCTTGCCGGCTGCGTGGGGCTGGTGGGCCGGCTCCCCTGTCATAGAAAGTTCCCGTGGGTGGCACCGCTCTGGGTGCTTGGAGACGGCAGCAGCAGGAATGCTCGTCCAGCCGTTGTGAGAAGCTGGCGCATGGCCATGACCCCCCCTGGAGGTGGACACTGTGGACGTGCCTGGGGTCCCCACGGGCAAGGGAGGGGACGCAGGCATCGATCCAGCGCTGTGCCCCCACACGGGCTGTGGTCGGCCGTGACTCGAGTGTCTCTAGCCTTTTTTGCCACAACAGTCTGGCTGTTAGAGCACGTTTCCTGCCTCACATGGGCTTTCTCCCCGCTGCACCTGGCGATCTGGGAAGATGGAAGCATCCGCCCCCCTGCATGTGCGCCCGTGATGCTTTCAGCCATGTAGACAGCTGGAGGGCGGGGCGGGGGCCGGCATTAACCACGCGTGTGCGCGGAGACCTGGGGGAGTGAGTCTAAACACAGCTCCAGGGTGAAGTCCACGCAGGGGCCGGCTCTTTCCAACAGGGACTTCCGTTGAGCGGCAAGCGTTCTAAGTTAGAGAACAGACGCGCCCTCAAACCCTCGGGAGGTAGGAAGGTTTGCGGATTCAAGTAGGGTGTGTGCTTTCAAAACAGAGAGTGGACCCCGGGACCGGCCCCGGGTGCGGGACGTGCGGGGGGCCCAGGGCTCAGCACACGCTCAGCCCCGCGGCCCTGCCTTCCATGGGGAGGACGTGAAGCACATGAGCTCAGGGCGGAGGCCGGGGGGGCGGGGCGGGGACACCAGGCTCGAGCTCCCAGGGTCCTCCCCCCGGGTGACCCACAGGACACGCTCAGTTCCCCCTACACGAGCTGTGCCAGCGCTTGTGCCCCCCCCCCCCCCGAGGGAGGGCAGACACGGAGACTTCATAAGTAGTCGCGCGGGAGAAGAAAGACCGTGGAGCCACGGGGACCGTGTGCAGCCTCGCTGGTCATCAGGAGTGTTGAGTTAAAGGCCGTTTTTCACTTGCTGAGTTTTCTAGAATCTCCGGCACTGGCCTGTGGTCCCCAGGTGCAGGGGGCAGTCGTTTCCCCCGGCGGTCTCTGCCCAGGAGACAGGACCACGCGCGGGGTGCAGGGCGGGAGCGTCAGGCAGGCGGTGGCCGCACAGGTCAGCAGCGGGGACCGTGGCCGTAGATGAGGGCGGGGCCTCCCGCGTCCGCCCTGTCAGTGTCTGGGCATTTTCCGTGTCCCCTGAGGTGTTTCTCTTGCTTCTGTAAATCATCTGAGGCCCTGCCTCAAACCCGAGGAGGCCTCCCCAACACGCACTCTGGCTCAGTTTGTCTTCTTCCTTCTCTGCCTCCCCATCCTCTGCCCCTCCAGGTACACAGGATCTACCGGGGGGCGGGCGGAAGCTTCCAGAAGGCACAGACCGAGTGGAACACGGGCGTTTGGCGGAACCCACCGTCCAGAGAGGCTCAGTACAACAACTTCTCGGGGAATAGCCTGCCCGAGTACCCCACCGTGCCCAGCTACCCGGCTTCTGGCAGCCAGTGGCCGTAGGGGGGCTGCGTGACCCCACGGCCTGCCCGCCTGGCCCCGTCGCCATCCTCTCCTCCCCCGGCCAGGGCGGCGGAGTCCAGGAGCACTCGGGGACCCGTGTTTGTGTTCATCTCACCTTCGGGAGGGAGGTCCTCGCGAGCGCCGCCCAGAAACCGTCCAGCCTCTGCTGCCTGGCAGGAGGATGCCCCTGCCACACGTCACGTTCGGTCGTCATGCTATCCACACCCTCTCCTGCCCGGGCCTCTGAGGGCCGACACAGGCCTCCCCAGGGAGAAGGTGGCAGCAGGCCAGCCGCCTGCCTTCCAGAGCTGATGGCGCTGAGGACGACTGGCCTCGTGTCCACCCGCGTGTTCTGTGCCGGGGTGTGGCCCTCGGCCCTTCTCCCCCGTTCCTGTCCCTGTGGGCGATGGGGTCTTGGCTGGGTCCCTCATGACCTCCTCCTCCTGTGTCTCTGCCCACCTGGGGCTAGAGGGCCCTTGTGAACAGCCTACGGGGTCAGCCAGAGGCATTTAGCTGCCGGGGCACCATGATCTGAGCCCCTGTCCATCTGTCTGTCCGCCCCACGTGCTCTGCTGGGTTCCGTGGCCACTGCGCAGGGCCGTTGGCCAGCCTGCCTCCAGCCTGCCCACCCGCAGCGGCTCTCCTGGGAACTTCGAGTGGACCTCTGTGGAGATCCCAGCACTGGGACGGATCCCGTGGGGAGGACGGAGCTGCTGGCCTCCCTGCTGTGCAGACCGCGGGACACCAGCGGCACCTGCAGAGTGGGTGTGACTGCGCCTCCACGGCCCAGCCGCGCCTCGGAGCCTCTGACCCCACTGTTGTTCGAGCTGCACGAAGCAGGAGCCTGAGTTTCTCCAGAGAATGGCCTTGTAGAAGGAACGAAGATGTGACAAATCTGTGCCTTAACGAGGAACCTAAGCAAGACGCCAGAAGGACCGGAGTGTCCCCGGGCACCTCGGCAGCGCCCTGTGAGTGGACGAGCGGGGGACACCACCTGGTGGCCCCTGAGCCCTTGCTGGCCGGGCTTCCCAGGACTCCGAACACTGCCCCCCGGCTCCTGGCTGGCCGTCCCCGTCACACTGCCACGCCTTCCGCCAGCCCCACCAGAAGCCTGGGCACGACTGTGGCCACGCTTGCTTGCTTTGGCTACTTGCACTGAACACCGTGTGGCGTCCAAGGGTAGCCACGGCCCCTGCAGGTCGCAGCCTCCTGGATGGGAGCCCCGAGCCCTGGGTCTCCCGGGTGTCCCTTCACATCCCGAGGCCCCTGGTGTGCGGCCCCAGCACTGACGCCACCCGGCTGCAGGGCCATGGAGCAGGTGTGGGAGGCTCCCTGCCCGCACATTCGCCCGCACGTTCACCCACACTCACCCTGAGCCCCCGTGGCCCCGGGCACCTTGGTTACTCCGTGGCGGGGCGGACCCGATCCTGGAAATAAAGACTCCAGTCCTTTCTGCATCTCGGAGCCTCTGCGGGGCTGTGAGTGGCGCCTGCGTGCATGTCGCCCCCGTGGCCCGACCCCTGCCCACGCGCCCTGCAGTGGGCCTGGCCCCCCGGCTGCCCCTGCCCTCACACTGCCTTGCTCTCAGCCGTGTCCACGATCCACCACGGTGCATTTCCTTTGTGCTTTTGTTTTAAAACAACTAGTTTTTGTCTTTTTTTTTTTTTTTTTTTTTACGTTTCACTGTTTTAATTTGAAAAGGAAGTGCAGAAAACGAGAAACCAGCATCCCTTGCCATGAAGGAAAAGTAACAGTAGAGGTGGCCGGAGTAGAAACAGGAAGGTCTCAGCAGCCCAGCTGGAGGGGTCCTGTTGGTGGCGGAGCGGACACCCCACGTGGACACGGGAGGGAGGGCGTGAGTCTTAGTCCACAGTTCGGAAACTAAGAGGACCAGGCCCAGCCCCGAGCGGGTGGCGTGGCTGGTGGTGTGTTCCCCTCCCCACAGGTGCACATGTGGACGTCCTGACACCAGACCTCAGGCCAGGACTGTGTTTGGGTCGGGGTCGCTGCAGGGGTACTTAGTTGGGGTGAGGTCCCACCGGACCAGAGGGGCCCCAGAGCAACGACGGGCATCCTTATAAAGGGACGCGTGGATCCAGACAGGCCGGAGGAAGCCCCGCAGAGACAGGGGTGATGCCCCCCCCCGGGGGTCAGGGTTGAGGCCGCCCCAGGAAGGCACCCAGCAGAGGCGAGGGGAGTGGAACGAGGGGCTGTCCCTGGGATGGGCGGGGTTGGTGACAGCAGGAAGAGGAGGAGGAGCAGCACCCAGGCCTGGAGGGAGGAAGGGATGTGGGCTGCCTCCGCCTCCGGGTGACCCGTCAGGACGCAGGATGTGGCTGGAGTTGAGAGACTGAGGCCCAAGTGAGAAGTGTGCGTGGGCGGCCGCGTCCAGGAACCACGGGGTCGGGGCGTAAGCCGCCGGGGTCTCCCCTCCCACCTTCTGGAGGGCAGAGCCCGGGATCCGGGTGGGAACGGCCACCGCGGGATGGTGGGGCTGGGGCGGGCGTCCGCGGGGCCTGACCGCCCTGCAAGGCCCGGGCGGGGCCTCCCTGCGCGCCTAACAATGCTAACGCTGGCGTAGAACCTAAGACGACATCTAGAAACGTGTGTTAACGTCATCTAAGGATGTGTTCGCTACACTTCAACATTAAAAAAATAACTTTTTTAAGAAAAGAGATGAGTGGCATTGTTTTCATTTTTGCAGAGAGGGCTGCCGGGTTCTCCCGTGGCGGCTGCGTGGACTCCGCTGTCGTGACCCGTCTTGGCCCCATGGGAAGATTGGGGGCAAGAGGGCAGGAGCCTAGGGAGGCGGGAGCGAGCGGGTCCCCCCTGCGGGCGGCCGCAGCCCCCTGGGACCCTGTGGAACGCGCGGGGACTGGGTGTCAGGCTGCCGGCCCCATCGGGGGCTGGAGGGCCGTGACTGTGCCCTGGGTGGGCGCACACCTGCGTGCGAGCTGTGTGACCAGTGAACTGCGTTCACCTCCGTTGATCCTTTCGGGTCCTAGCCCCCAGGGCCCCACGAGGGACCTTCTCTGGAAATAGGGTCACCAAAGGAGACATTTTTCAAGGTCAAGTGAGGCCTCATCCAACGTGACAGACTGGAACACGTGGACCGGGTCAGGCCGGGGGAAGCCCGTGAAGATGGGGCTGAGATGGGGGCAATGCTCCTGCAGGCCCTGGAATGCCGGGGGCGCTGGTGACCCCAACATGCCCCCGTGAGGCTGGGGGGCCTGGGACGGGTTCTCCCCCCTGCAGGAATAGGTCCGGCAACACCTCGTTCTCCGACACGTACCAGGGGCTGCAATTTCCACAGGTCTCTTCGGGGCTCACAGTTCAACCCGTGACGGGTGCACATCTCCGGGAGTCCTCGGCCACCGTGTGCAAGAACCGCGAGCGGGGTGCCCCGAGGCCACTGATCCTCCTACATTCTGGAGCCCGCAGCCTGACATCCGGCCGTGGCGGGCCGCGCTCCCTCGGCAGGCCCCAGGGGAGGGTCCGCCCCGCTGCTCCCGGCTGGCTCCCGGGGCCTGTGGCCGAGCTCTGCCCTCCGTGTGGGTGCCTGTGCGGGCGTGTTAGGTTGTTTGTTCACTTAGGGGAGAGCTCACAGGAGCGAGGGGCACGAGCAGAGGGACGCAGAGGGTGACAATCTCCAGCTGACTCCATGCTGAGGGCAGAGCCCCACGCAGGGCTCGAACGCAGGACTCCGAGATCACAACCTGAGCTGAAACCGGGTCGGACGCTTCACCGACTGAGCCGCCCAGGTGCCCTGTGTGCCGTCGTCTTCCAACGACACCAGCCGTGGAGTCACGGCCCAACCCGACCCCGTGCGACCTCGTCTGAGGTCTAACACGGCTGCAGGGATGCCCGGGGGCTCAGCGGTTGAGCGTCTGCCTTGGGCCCAGGGCGTGACCCCGGGGTCCTGGGTTCGAGTCTGCGTTGGGCTCCCCGCACGGAGCCTGCTTCTCCCTCGGCCTGTGTCTCTGCCTCTCTCTGCGTCTCTCATGAATAAATAAATAAAATCTTTAAAAAGAATAAAAAACGGGACGCCCGGGTGGCTCAGGGGTTGTGTCTGCCTTCAGCCCAGGGCATGATCCTGGAGTCCCAGGATCGAGTCCCACGTCGGGCTCCCTGCATGGAGCCTGCTTCTCCCTCTGCCTGTGTCTCTGCCTCTCTCTGTGTGTCTCTCCTGAATAAATAAATAAAATATTTTTAAAAAAAGAATAAAAAACACGTCTGCAAAGACCCTATTTCCAAATAAGCTCTGGTGTTGAGGTTCTGGGTGTATGCGAGTTTTGGGGGCGACACTACTCAGCTCTCTACCTCACCCTGGCCTTGGGCCCCTGGGCGTGGGGTGAGGGAGCTCCTCACCTGGCATCTCTGGTGACAGGTGGCTCACTGCATGTCCCCTGCTCAGGCTTGCTGGGACTTCCAGGGTTTTAGCCACATAGGGGCCCAGGAGGCCTGCGTGCACCGGGCCCTTGTTCGCCTCCTGTGTGTCTCGGCGCCTGAGGAGCCACGCGAGAGTGAAAGACCCCTATCTGGGTCACACTGACACAAGCAGACACCTGCTCAGCAACCGCGAGGAGGACCTTGCTCTGGGCCAATCAGAGGTGGCTGGGGGTGTGTGTCGCATGGTCACATGGTACGGCCCTGTTCCCAGAGGATGAAACTGCTGGTTTCCGCTCCGGGCTACACCCCCCCCCCCCCCCCCCCGCCGCCCCAGCGTCTTCTGTTTCCCCTCCAGAGCTCACACCACCCAGAGAGGGAGAGAACTCTGACTTGTCTGTGGCACCAGGCGACATCTCCCATTGCGGCCCCTGACGCGGGGATGCCCCCCCCAGCAGCAGTGGGAGATGCAGCATTGCAGATTTAGAAGCCAGGGGACCCCGGGCAAGTCGCTGCGTCCTAAACCTCAGCCTCCACTTCAAAGATGGGAGTGTCTGCGTCCCCGCTCCCCCGGGGGAGGCCTGGCTGCGGGGACCAGGACCCCAGTTGCACAAAGTGAACCGGGGTGCCTGCCTGTGCCTGTGGGCTGGCGTGGGGCACCAGGGGGCAGCCCTGCTCTGACCTGGGGTCTCTCCCGGGAGATGGGCCTGCCTCCCCTAGGGGTAAGGGGACTCGGGGACGCTTCCCGCCCATCTCCTCCCTGAAACCCACAGCTGTTTGGGGGTTATGGGTTGGCTGGGGTTTTGTTGGCCTTTCCCAGGTCGGGGTGGGGAGAGCAATGGAGTCCCCGCACGGCCCCCTTTTTAAAAAATATTTTATTTATTCATGAGAGACAGAGAGAGAGAGAGAGAGAGAGAGAGAGAGGCAGAGACCCAGGCAGAGGGAGAAGCAGGCCCCAGGCAGGGAGCCCGACGTGGGACTCGACCCCGAGTCCCTAGAATCTCGCCCCGACTGAAGGTGGCGCCAAACCGCCGAGCCACCTGCCCCCCCCCCCCCCAGCCCCTTAACGATGATCTTGCCGCACTCAGAGCTCCCGGGGGCCCTTTACCACAGCGGCTCTCCAGACGGGGTCCCCCCGACCAACGCTGACAGGAGGCGGGCGCGTGCGGACTGCGTTCAGAGTGGGTCGGAGAGGAGGAAGCACATGAGCCCGTGTGCTGCTTCAGACTCGCGGGTGATGTCAGAGCGAGCGCCGTTCACCTGCGCGACGCGGGCCCAGCCACGAACCGTGAGTTCATGGGACAGAGACCAGAGAGGGCCACCCGCCGCGGTCCCATGGCCTTCCACGGCCTTCCACGGCCGCCCAGCCCCGGCCTCACGTTCCATGTTCTTTCCGCGGCCTGGCCCTGCTGCTTCCTGTGGGGGCGAGGCTGCAGCTCGCGAGTACACCTCGAGCCCCCCCAGAGGAGAGGCCGGCAGGCCCCCTGGCCCCTGGGTGTCGGGCGCCTCAGCGGATTTCCCTAAGGAGAGAGACAAGAGGACACTCGGCCCAGGAGGTAGGACGAAATAAAACCCCGACTTCTCCAGGATCTGGGAGGACTGTGAAATTTGTTCGTTTGTTCATTCGTTCGTTCATGCATTCATTCATTCGTTCACCACACAGTGAACACACAGAGACTGGGTGCCCCGGGGGCAGACACACCGGTGAGCTGAGCAGATGCAGTCCCCGGCCTGGCATAGCTGGTGAACAAGTGGATTGCCCCTCCCCTCCCTCCTCCCCCCCTCCCAGCCCTCTCCCCCCTCCTCTCCCCTCCCCTCCCCCCTCTCAGCCCTCTCCCCCCTCCTCTCCCCTCCCCTCCCTTCCCTCCCAGCCCTCTCCCCCCTCCCCTCCCCTCCCCTCCCTCCCAGCCCTCTCCCCCCTCCCCTCCCCTCCCTCCTCCCCCCTCCCAGCCCTCTCCCCCCTCCCCTCCCCTCCCTCCTCCCCCCTCCCAGCCCTCTCCCCCCTCCCCTCCCTTCCCCCCCTCTCAGCCCTCTCCCTCCTCCTCTCCCCTCCCCTCCCTTCCCTCCCAGCCCTCTCCCCCCTCCTCTCCCCTCCCCTCCCCCCTCTCAGCCCTCTCCCCCCTCCTCTCCCCTCCCCTCCCTTCCCTCCCAGCCCTCTCCCCCCTCCCCTCCCCTCCCCTCCCTCCCAGCCCTCTCCCCCCTCCCCTCCCCTCCCTCCTCCCCCCTCCCAGCCCTCTCCCCCCTCCTCTCCCCTCCCCTCCCCCCCTCTCAGCCCTCTCCCCCCTCCTCTCCCCTCCCCTCCCTTCCCTCCCAGCCCTCTCCCCCCTCCCCTCCCCTCCCCTCCCTCCCAGCCCTCTCCCCCCTCCCCTCCCCTCCCTCCTCCCCCCTCCCAGCCCTCTCCCCCCTCCCCTCCCCTCCCTCCTCCCCCCTCCCAGCCCTCTCCCCCCTCCCCTCCCTTCCCCCCCTCTCAGCCCTCTCCCTCCTCCTCTCCCCTCCCCTCCCTTCCCGCCCAGCCCTCTCCCCCCTCCCCTCCCCTCCCCTCCCTCCCAGCCCTCTCCCCCCTCCTCTTTCCCACTCATCCACTGAGGAGCTGTCAAGAGCTTGTACTTTGGAGGAGGCTGATTTCATGGGAGGCTCAGGTTGGAGAGGGCCAGGGTGCCGTGAGGGAGGACACCTGGGGATGTGCCTTGGGCTTTGGAGGTGGTGCCTTTGCAGGGACTGGGGCAGGATGGGGCAGGACGAGCCCTAAGGTCGCAGGGGCACAGGGCCCCGGAGCACCTGGCGCCCCCGAGTCCCACAGGCCAGGCTCGGGCACTGGCTGCGGGCGGCACCCGCAGGCAAAGAGCGGTGCTGAAACGACTGTATTTCAGGGAGGTCGGCGCCGGGACGAGGGGACTAGTGTCAAGAGTGGCCCCCGAGTGGGGAGAAGGCAGCCAGGTGGGAGGAAGCCCAGTGGGTCGCGCAGGTGGGCGGCGAGGTCAAGGCCGCTGGCCCGGGGTCAGCGGTGCGGGCGGCCGGCTCGGGCAGTCCTCCCTGGGGGGGCGGCCTCGGCCCCCACGGGGATGCTTGGCCCGCGGGGCCTTCTCAGCTCGGAGAGGAGCCGCAGGCGCTGGGCTGGACGAGCAGCGGGGCGGCCGTCAGAGCCGGGGGCCCTCCAGCATCTGGACCCCGCTCCCGGGGAGGCCCGACCCGCGTCCGCCCTCGCAGGCAGCTGCGCCCCCGCGGGCTCCCCGCGGGCTCCCCGCCCCGCCCCGCCCCGCGGCCCCGCCCCTCCCCTCCCCGCGCCACC